GCCCTGGGCCTCTTCACTGGGCTACACTTGAGTACAGAGTGGAGCAGACTTCTTTTCTCACTCTACTGGTCCATACTCACTCTGCAGAACTCTTCACTTATTTTCTCTACTTTTTTAGATCTTTGTGTGTGTGTGTGTGTGTGCGCGCGCATGCGTGTGTGTGTGTGTGTATTTTTAGGGAAGGGTTTACAGTGTGTTTAGGGTCTCACTATTAGACTGGAATTAGACTGGACTCTAGTGATCCACCTGTTTACAGTCTCCCAAGAGCTGGGATTACACGCGCGTGCCACCGCGCCCAGTCTCAATTGCCGGCTCAGTGTGCCCTGGACATGGGGCCGGCACCACAGGCCCTGAATCAGGATTGGAGCCCCGGCCCCTGTGCCTGCTTGTAGGTGCTTTAACCTGCTAAGCTATTTGGCTGGCCCTACTTTTTTTAAATTTATAATGAAATTAAAACCTGTATATTTTTTTGCTCGTCCAATTCTTTGAACAGGACATGACGATCTACCCCAAAGCCCCCCAGCACCTGTTAATAGTAGTTTCATTTTTAGTTAGAGCTTTGTGAGAAAACAAAATCTAAGTATGGGAATGTTGTGTGACTGAGGTGTTTACTCACCCCCGCCCCCAGACTTCCTGTTTTTGCCTTTATCACCCCAAGTCACAGAATGTCTTTAGAGAAGTGGAGTTGCTGTCGCAGCTGGTTTATTTGGGGGTCGGTTGTCTTCCCACTGACTCAGCAGAGTTCCAACTTGCTCATGCCATTGAAGGGGAGAAGTCACGGAGTCTTGACGTTCGTGGACAAGGACCAGTCTGGCCACAAGATTACACAGTAGCTTGGCCCACTTCTTAAGTAGGGAACTTGGACTGGGTCTGATGCACACGGAGGCAGAGAGACAATGTCCCCTCGCTAGGATGGCATTCTGGTCCCCACCCAGATCCTCACCTGCTGTTGATGAAGGCTCCACTGCTTGCCGTAGCCCACAGGTCAGTCACTAACTCCAGGACAAGGTCCGCAGGAGGGCAGCTGCTCACTCCTGAGCCCAACAGGGGTTTAAAGTGAGAGACAAGGGGCACTCAAGTCACCCCGAACTTTCCTGTGTGCACTATTGGCTAAGGTGAGCTTTCTCTGTTTAATTTTTACCTCTGAGTACATTTAAGGAGTCCATAACACGATCAGGGAAAGTATTTCTAATAAAACAAACATTCCTTGCATTGTATAAGGAATAAAGTCCTGACCTGGGGAGAGTGACGCTCTAAGTCCCTGCCTTGGCCCGGCTGCTCGTCAGGGTGTTGCAGAAGGCACAGGTGTCTTCCCTGCACATTTGCTCAAGGAAAGGCCCAGATGGAGCAAGAAGACCTGGTCAACAAACCCATCCAGGCCTGGCTGCGGCCTCCTGACTGGGCTTACGGCACTGCAGAGTTCTTTGGTGTTCTCATACGTGACGTCCTGGTCCTTGCTTGTACTGCCAGCAAAAAATCAAGAAAGAGAAACAGAGGAAAGAAATAGAGAGTGAGGGGGAGATGGGAAGGGAAGGGAAAGGAAGAGGGAAGAGGAGGAAGCGTGGGAGGGCAGGGAGCGGAGGAGGCAGGTGGGGGGAAGCAGAAATTCTCATCAGACGGAATAAGCCTCAACCTGTAGGTCATGTGTGTTTCCAGAATCTATTTATTTCCTTGTCCTCTTGACCTCCCCGGCCCTTGTTCCAGTTTAGCAGAAGACAATGACCAGGCTTGTTTCTTCCTATTTCCTGTGCCCTACTTTTGCTCTTAAGACCCACTTATACAACTAATTTGAGTTCACACAGCAGAGACTACAAGAGGTTGTTTTCTGTTTATGTTCAGAAGACAATCCAAAAGCTCAGCAGTGATTGGATGAGCTCAAAGTGATTCTCCAAGTTTTCAAGCATTTGAGTGTGGCTAAGAAGAGAACCGCAGCAGGCCGGCCAGATAGCTCAGCGGACTAAAGCACCTGCGTAGGCAGACGCAGGGGCAGAGGATTCGATTCCCAGCGTGATGTGCCAGCCCCGTCCCTGGGGTGTGCTGAGACTGGGCGTGGTGACCCGTGCCTGTAATCCCAGCGTTTGGGAGGCTAAAATCAGGAGGATCACCACGAGTCCAATGTCTGTAGTGAGACCCTGTAGACCCTGTACTAAAGTACATTTGAGAGAGAGAGAGAGAGAGAGAGAGAGAGAGAGAGAGAGGCAGATCCAGAGTTCTCAGTGTGTTAGAACTATGCAGACCCGTGGGAGATCAGCTTTGTTCTCTTGTAAATTCTCTTTTTGGTTTTGTTTTTACTGTATTTTGCTTTTTAGACAGGCTCTCACTGTGCAGCCCAGCGTGGCTTTATAGTGACCCCGGCTCAGCGCTTGAAGTGCTGGGATTATAGGCATTCTCCGCCCCTTGTCACCAGGGCCCTGGCGTGCGGCTGTGTGCTGGACGACGTGAAGTGCCCAACTGTGTTTGTTGATGCCTCAAGAAGTCAGAAACCATAGCTTGATCAGCTTTTACACTGTCCTGTGGCAGAACTGGCCCAAACTCCCAGCCCTTCACTGATTACACAAAAAATATTGAGTGCCCTGGATGGAATAGGGCTGGCAGGGCTTCTGATGAGCTAGCAATTTAATTTTTATGTAACATAATTAAATTTAGAACTATAAAATACAAAGTATAATAGTTTTAGTATCTAATATTAAGTGTATATAAAACTTCCAAGAAATATTTCTCTGCAATTTTATCCTTGTACATTTAGTTCATAAATGTAAACACTTTCCTTTTAACAACCTTTCGATAGTTTTTTGTTTGGTCACCCCCAATCCATAGACTTAAGACCCAGATTTAAACAGAGTTCTTCAAATTCTCGATAGTTACCATCAAAAAGAAACTGCATACAAGTAGGCAATATAAAAAGTTTATTGAGGCTTAGAATGACCATTTAAACATTTCTGACAGTATAAATCATCTTTGCAGGACCCAGTGATCTTTGCATTGCTTTTCACTGATAAAATGTAATGCTGGCATTACATTCCTTTTTGTTGTTGTTGTTTTTGGCTTTTTTTGCAGAACCGGGGATTGAACTCAGATCCTTACGTTTGCCAGTCAAGCGCTTATCCTACTGAGCCATCTCCCCGGCCCCTGGCATTACATTTCTTGGAACAATGCTGATTCTTGCTGAACCCTGGGAATATTTTCACCTGGACTACTTCACAGTAACACAGGAGGAGCCTGCCCTGGAGATTGAGTCTGGACTGGCAGCCAGGCCAGGACCCCGGCTGTGTCCTTGAGCCCCGTGTAGAGGTGAAAGCATGAGCAATCTCTGTGGGGACACAGGGTCCTGAGGATGCCAGTGGCCCTCGAAAGGTGACACTTCACCCGCCCTACAGTAAGATGCCTTGTCCAGCCTCCGTGTGCCCATCCGTGGAGCAGGGATAACAGTAGTACCGATCTGGGAAAGTAGCTATGACAGACACACGATAAATGACAGCTGTATGTTTATTAAGTAAAACAAAGAAGTCAAGCAGCTCTGCGGGACACCCCCACTAAGGTGTGGATGAGGGTCTTCCAAAGAACAATATGGGGGCTTACGGAGGTCCTCAGTTGCTGGGGGAGTGCCCAGGGCGTCGTGTGACCCTGACTTGTCCTCTCTCTTCCTGGGTAGTAATGTGAGCACTCCCTGTGACACAAGCTCACGCTGACACTGCCACCTTGCCAATGTCACTGGAGGTCCACCAACAAGTCACCTGATCTTGGAGTCTCTGAATTGTGAGCCACATGAACCTTTTCCAAGTTAATCACCTCCGTATTTGGTTGTTGTAAAGAGAATCTGGCTAGTATAACCTCCCATCAGATGCTTCATTAAATGTTCTAAATTCTGACTACCACTCTCGGGCCCTACTGTGTGTAGATACGGACGGTAAGCCACAGTTTCCTAGCCCTGCCGAGCCACAAGCACGGCTACCACGGCACAGCGGCCCACAGATGAAACAGGACAATTCACAAAATAGGCTCGCGTTCCTGTAGCATAGTGGTTGTCATGTCTGCCTCACACAAGACAGGCTCGAAACATAACAAGTCCTTAACTAGTAAGAGCTGCAAGGAAGAGGCTGGGCAGGGTGTGAGCTCCAGGCTGTGCCTTGCCTGCCCAAGCCAGCCTCGTTCCTGTAGGTGATTGCAAATCTTTCCAATCAGATTATATTTTGCAGTCCCCTGGTGTCAATTCTTCAGTTATTGGCCCCTGGGAGGTTTTCCATGTCTCTAAAAAGCAGCACTGAGAAGGGTCAGAGAACCAGCCACACAAGAAGCGCCTTGGAAAAGCTGCCCAGGCTGCTGGGCCACTGCTGGAGGAAAGTTCCACATCTTCTCATTCAGATTTTATTAGGAAGGCATCAGAAAATTAATCAAGTATAAAACTTTAAACATTAAATGAACCACTGTTATCAAACACTCGACTCACCTAGGCACATCTTATGATGACCAGGAGCAAGTCAAACATGGCATTTCATTTTACAAATATCTTTACATTTAATAGCTGGGAACAAGAACTTAAAAACAACAACAACAACAACAACATCAACTTTGTACAACTGTTAGCACTGAGGAAGAGCTTAAGGACCTGAAAGTTAAGCAAAACTGGTCATCTTTTATTAAAATACAGTATCTCTGTCTCTTTCACTATATACATATATTTTTCTCTTTAAATAAATATATTATGTATTTTAATTTTTTTTATGGTGCCAGGGATGGAACTTGGGGCCTCACACACGTTAAGCATGTGCTCTACCACCAAGCTACACCCCCAGAATTATTATTTGTTTTTAAAGACTTACTTGACAAATTGGTGCTCTGGGGCCATGGAGTTCCCTTAGTTCAGAAAACAAATACTGTACAAAAAACATTAGGCATCTGGGCTTGGTGGTGCCCACTTGTAATCCCAGAACTCTGGGAAGCTGAGGCAGGAGAATTGCAAGTTCAAGTCTTCCCCGGGCAATTTAGCAAGACCCTTTCTCAAAAAAAAAAAAAAAAGAAAAAAGAAAATCAAAGGGTCTCAGCATATAGTTCCAGGAAGCAGGGCTCAATCTCCCACACACTAAAGGAAGTTCAAAGAAAAACATCAGGCAGAGATGAATCTTCCTAGGCAGGAGGATGCCCTGGGGCTCGGCCATTGCCACTTCACTCCGCTCACATCAGGACCTCCGACTCTTCTGGAGAGTCATCAGCATATAGAAGTTCATCAGAGGACGCGCGCCCCAAGGGCAGCGTGTCGCGATGGGACCACGAGACCCCGTTCCGCCCCAATATGTCCTCCGGCAAAACACCGCTCTTTCCCGCGGGCGCGGAGGCCGAGGGGGCACCGGCCTGGTCGTCCCAGTCCTCACTGCCCGCGTTCAGGATGTACCTTTCTTCCTGAGCTTTATTCTCGTGGACCTCCGCCTTGACCACGCTGACAGCGGCAGCCGGGGCGCCGGCGCAGGAGGCGATGATGGAGTCGGGGTCGATGTTCATGTCCAGCCGCGCGAAGGCCAGGCCCTCGGCCAGGCCCTCACAGTTCTCCGGCAGCGGGGTGTTCATGTAGAGGACGGCCGCTTTGTCCTGCGAGTCGGGCAAACTCTCCAAGAGCTTTTCTAGCTGCAGCCTGAGCACGGAGAAGGTGGGTCGGTCCAAGGGGTCGGCGCTCCAGCAAGAGAACATGATTTCGTACCTGAAAGCGGAAAAGAAGGTGACTGGGGGTGACACCCAGTTCCTTACGGCAGTGGAGGTGACAGCTGGCTCTTTGTTATCACTGAAAGCTACCTTAGGGCCTCCCACCCCTTTCTCTTCATGTAATCTTTAATTTTTTTTTTTTTTTCATCTCATGTATTTGATACAGGGCCTCACTACGCAGCTCAGACTCCTAAGGAGCCTCCTGTTTTCAGCTTCCCCAGTGCTGGGACTACAGGCATGTGCCACTACCCGGGATCAAACCTTGGTCCCTGCGCTTGCCAAAGAGGAACTTAGTCCAGTGAGCTATCTCGCTGGCCCCCTGTAATCTTTAATTTAATCACAATGTATCCTTGGCCTAATGTTTATCCAATTTTTGTAAATATTCCTTGGGCATTTGAAGAAAGTGATTCTGGTTCCCAGGACAGAAGATATATATGTTCATCATACCTTCCTTTGCACAGAAACGGTTCTTTCCTTCCCTCCCTCCTTCCCTTCCTTTTCCTTCCTTCCCAGCACTGGGAGTCCGACCTACAGGTGCTCTACCACTGAGCTACATCCCAGACCTTTTCATTTTAGGTTTTCATTTCGAGATAAGGGCTCACTAAATTACCCAGCCTGGCTTGAACTTGCAATCTTTCTGTCTCTACCCGCTAAGGGCTGGAATTATAGGCATGCATCACCATGCCTGGTGGTCCTTTCATTCATACGGGATTTGACAACCTATGGTCCATGGCTAAATCTGTTCCACTGATTGCTTTGAAAATACTGTTTTATTAGAACACAGCCACATCTGTTTGTTGGTGTCTTATGACTACCTGTGCTACAATGGTTGTCTGTACAAGAGCTTCACAAAACCTGAAATAGTTACTATCTCGAATTTTACAAAAAAATGTTTGCTGACCTCTAGTGTATACATCAAACAGGGCTGTTCTGAAGGGAGCTGAGTTAGTCAGGCACTGGTGTCACGAGGGCTAAGAAGCCAGGAGCCAGGTGGCACATGGAGGGTAGGAGTATGGTATGGAGTACCACTCCATCTAATCTTCCCAAAAGCCCTGTCATTGTCACCTTTTAAAAAATAAAGAGTGCACTCAGATGTCACAGGATGTGCCCTAGTCATGCAGGTAGCGGGGGGATCGGACTGCAACTGAATAGTTCTATGCCCAAGGGCTTATCATGATCCTTTCTGGAAAATTCTATAGGGGATGGCCTTCTCTTCTGTGTGGTTCCTTCATTTCTGGTGTCTGATATAATTAAGAATTACAAAGGAGGGACATTTAAAGGAGCACAAAAAAACAGAGACATGACAATTAGGAATCACAAGCTGAGCAAAGGAGTTATATTAGCCTTTCATTTCAATGCTTTCCTATATTGAGAAATTGATATTTAGTATTACTGGATTCTAAAAACAGTCTTAGATTTCAATGAGCTGATGTATGCCATAGATCACTGATATTTATGAACAGACATAGACAGTTTCCATATCTGCATTCAATCCTGAGTGTCACTGAAGGTGTAGGAGCTGTCTTTGATTTTCCTGTATTACCCTCAGGAGATGGTCACTTAGGCTTGGCAAACAGTTTTTGTTTCTGTTTTTGAGATTTTTCATGGTATAAATCAATTTTGCATGACTCCTTGTTTCTACAGAGCTTTGATTGTTGGCAGTCTGAGCTAAGTTTTAAGAAAATTTAGTCCTTAAGGGCATAATGTCCTTTTTATTATTTCATCTAGGGGCTTCTGCTATTTAATTCACTTTCATTTATTTTGTGTCTTAGGAGAAAGTGTTTAAATAATCTATCTGTCTTTTTTATTTTTTACCTAGAATAGTGACATCACTTTGATACCTCTTTTCATTTTATGTTCAATATTTTTATTTTTTATTTATTTTTATTTTTTGGCGGAACTGGGGATTGAACTCAGGCCCTTGCACTTGCCAAGCAAGCGCTTATTCTATTGAGCCATCTCCCCGGTCCCAATACTTTTAAATATGAAGACATAGTGAGCATGTGTACTGTCTGCCCTGCTCCACATAGGGACAGTTCCACAGTGGAGACGTAAGGGATCGACAGGAGGTCCTGTACCTGTAGGTAACAGGAGGGCTGGGATATTTGGTGATTTAAATTTTATGGATTGGAGCTGGGGAGATAGCTCAGTTGAATAAGCACTTGCCTGGCAAGCTCAAGGGCCTGAGTTCAATCCCCAGCTCTGAAAAACAAAATAAAATAAAATAAATTTTATGGATTAAAAAAAAAAAGTTTGGTAACTGCCATTGTAAGTGGTCAGTTCTGCTTTTCTGATGAGATTTTATAAAGGCTGTAATCACACAGGCTGCTGTGGGCGGAGGCAGGGAGGGTTCCTCAGTGGGTAGAGAGCTGGAGTTGTGCAAGATAAAGAGCTCTGGGGGTGGACGGTGGCGACCATTACACCACCGCGGAAGGCTCTCGGTGGGACTGAAATGCACACAAAGTGCTCAAGCCTGTAGAACTGTCCGTTGTGTGCATCTTACCTCAATTTTAAAGAATGCTGTCAGATTAGAGGAGGGCCACATGCAGCTGCAAGTCTGCTCTGAGAAAGGCTGCCCACTTCGTGTGGGCTGTGTGCCATGCCAGGGTCCGATCCTAGCTGCTACCTGGCCAGCTTCAGCTCTCACCCCTTTCCTTCTCTGGGCCTGGTTTGCATCGGGTGGAAGGAGATCAGTGCGTAGAGGTTGTGAGCTGGGGCCCTCCGAGCACAGAGACAGCAGCCGGAGCCAGGGCCGGCCCTGTGCCCACCGGAATTTCAGGCTCTGGATGCCCAGATGCAGGAAAGCTGAGGTTGGTACAGATGTGTGTGGGAGAGGCGAGATGGGGGGTTCCTGGGGCACAAGGGCAGTGCTCGGAGGGGTGGCACGGAGCCCCTGGGAGGTGCCCCTGATTCTGAGCTCCAGCTTCTAGGTGGGCGACACAGATGGGACATTAGCAGTGAGTCCCACATTAGCAGTGAGGGGTGTTGTGCCTTTAGCAGTTACACCTCACAGCACGCCACCGGGAGAGAAAGGCAGGCCCTTGGGAAAAACGCTGTACCAGCTGAGGCCGTGCCCGCCCGAACAGCGGCAGGACCCTGCCCATCAGCAACCTTGAGCCATCTACGAAATGCTGCGCGGGCGCTGGCTTGCTCTGCTGGCACGTCCAGCTACCACGTATTATCTTATCTCCGTTGTGTGGATGAGGAACCTAACAGGATGGTGCTGTGCCACAGCGGGCCCCAACTGCCTCCCAAGCCCAGAGGAACCTGGGGCCGAGGCTCAGCTTCTTTTCCACTGAGCCACAGTGCCTAATGCAGGTCAGATCCGACAATTTCTGGTCTACTCTACAGATGACAGAGAACCACCTCATGTTGATTACAGCTACAAGCAGGCCGTGACCGTCTTATAATTTTACTTATGTACTTCTGCATTTGTTTGTGGCACTAGGGATGGAACTGTGCTAATCAAAGTTTCAGACTATAATGTAGAGGGGTCACTGCAGCTGCCACCCAAACAAGGCCTCAGGAGCAGACGGGTGAGAAGAAGGGAGAGCCGAGGACCCCCACCCTCCACTCACTCGTTTGCTTAGGCCAGATGCCAGTGCGAGGAGTGGGAGCCCTCGGAGTCTAGGGCCTGACAGCATCCGCAATGTGAACAGCAGAGGAGGGGACTTGGACAGGAATCTGCGGGGCTGATGGGGTCCAGCGGTGCAAAGAAAGAATAAGAACTAGGCGGATCCTGAGTGTGGGAGGCAGCTGAGTTAGATGGAAATAGTATAGGCAGTCAGACAGGGCTGGGCCCTCCATGGAGCCAGCAGGGAAGACAAGATACCTTGCAGTTGTGGGAGGGGTGGACAGTCCCACTGTGGGCCACATCTCCAAAAAAAGATCAAACAAATGCAGCCGCAAGCCTCCATCGGGAAAATCATCAGGGACTGATATTCTAAATAAGATATCAATCACCTTGAGAAAGCCAGGAAGAGTAACTAACCCACCGCCCCTACAGGAAAAGCCCCTGTTCTGTATTCTCGTCCACGCCCTACGTGGTTCACTTCCCTATTGGATTCCGATTTAATTGATTTTACCTGAGTAATTATGCTCGCAATATTATTGACTGGCCATAGTTTTGTCCCGCCTCATGCCCACCTACTGAGTTCCCATGTTTCCCAACCTGGACCCACCTCATTTTGTGGATTTGCTCTATAAAAATTCCCATAAAGGCAGGGGTCTTGGCAACCCACTCGGGTCCCCTTGCGTCCCTCTCTCAGACAGATGCTTTCTTTCCCCCAATAAGTATATCCTGCCCTTAACCTCCATTGTTTCAAAAATTCATTCTTCGGTTTTAGGGACCATGATCTTGCCCCAGATATCTTTCAGCATGGGAGTTTCTTTTCCTTGTGTCATAAGGACCAGGAGGGAGTGGGAGCCACTGCTGGGAGCTACGGCCGAAAGGTGGTGGGATGGATCCTGAGGCTGCAGGCTCAGGGTGAGCTCAGCAGGGACCGAGGAAGTGGGGCACTGCGGAAAGTGGTTTCTGAGGGAGTGGGAAGCTGTCCGGGGCCCTGGGTGGGGGGCGCTTGCTGCAAGGAGGTCGCCCCTCAGGCAGGGTCAGACAGCAGGGTGCAAAGGGCCTCTAAGAGTGACAGGGTTCTTTTTTTCACAGAGGTCATGTGAAAAAAACAAAGGGCAACAAAACACAGGAGTGAGTGCATCTCAGCTGTGTTTATACAGCAATCCCAGCTGACAGGCCCAGAGCATGCATTTCATTTATTAAAAAAGAAATGACCTAGAGACGGAGGCACAGCCCCCCCGCCCCTTCACCCAGATGCAGGCTGAGTGGAGGAGAGCTCTGCGCACATGAGCTGGCCATGGGAGTGTGGGGACTCAGCCCGCTGCCTCTGCCTGGCTCCCCAGCCACAGGGCACTGACTCGGCCACTCCGACCCTCTCAGAGAACACCGACTCAGCATTCCCTGTCTGCGGCTGTGTGAAACATCTAAAAACCACAGGGTGACACAGCTCAGACCTTGCTAGGACCCAAGCTCGCAGCGACAAATGTGAACTTTCATCACAAGGGGAAAGCAAAGAAAGGAACAGCACCGCTGATGGAAAGCCCCCCTCATTTTATAGCAGCAAACAGGGCCCTTTAAAGAGCTACTGTGAAACCCTAGCACTAATTAGCTCTTAGGATTTTTTTTTAAAGGATGTAAGTGTTTGTTTCTGTTTAATGTTAGGTATCTACCAAGAAATTTGTGTGTGTGTGTGTGTGTGTGTGTGTGTGTGTGTATGTGGTACC